TTATATAACATAAATCAAGATTAGTCATTTAATAAGCAAAGTATTAAAGAGTGAACAAGATAATAAATACAAAACATGTTAGTATCAAACATTAAAGTCCATATTAAGTTTACACTATACTTATTCTTACACTATTAGTGTAACCTTTTCACCTTGACATAATAAACTTAGCTAGACCTAATGAAAGAAAGAAAAATAAATAAACAAAATAAGAATATAAATAAGATAAGAGTTAACTAAGTAAATGAAAGGAAATGAAGGCATAAACTTGATATTAATGAAAGTTAAGCATAAACATTACAAAAAATACAAAGAGAAAGCAAGAGCATGATCTTGATCTGGACACCAAGATGTCTAAATGCATGACAAATGCCTCCTTTTATAGGCCAAAATTGGAAACTATTGATTTGATGACTAATTGATGAATATGTGACCAACTCTTGATTTGGTGACAATTCTTATCTTCTTTTGTCTGCCTAAAACGTCATTGATAACGTCAAAATTAGAGCCACTTGAACATGAAAGTTTTAAGAAATCGTCTCAGCTTTCTTGTGTAAAAAATTCAAATCATTACGAATTCTAAAACTCCAGATATGGCCCAAATAATGAATAGTGCTCGGACTGGAGGATAGATTCGGACTTCTTTGTTGTTGCCCTAATTTGGACTTGAAAATGACTTTTTTAGATCTTGGGCTCCATATGAAAGTTGTAGGCCTATGTCTTACCTTTTCATCCAAATAGTGTTCTGGTTTGGATTGTACCGACATCTCTTTTCTAGGTTTGGCCATCTCTTTGTCCTTTCAATTTCAGTTCTTAAATTCATCAATCAATCCTTTCATTTATGTGATAGGCCTGTATTTAAAATGAACATTTACCCTAAATTAAAGGTATCTTATATTATTAGATATGTTATGATAAAACATGCTTTAGTTAAGGAGTTATTGATACTTTAAGTGCAAAATGATGATATAAAACCTTGATAAAAATGCACTTTTAAGTACTAATAAGAATCCCACTATAATAACCTTTGTAATTTCCTCAGTATATAGCAAGGAAATGTTTTTGTTAGCATATTTACAAATGTACTTTACCGTCAGGCTAATTTCATCGATAATGTTATTTGTAAAAGTTATATGTCATCGTATTTTTAGGTTTTTTTTTTCCATTCTTTATTTTCCTTTTGCAATTCCTTTAGTATATATCAATAAAAATTTTCTAATGTTGTTTACTTAAGGACACAAAGATGGGAAATTATATTGATAAAGGTCATCACAATATATCAATGAAGAAATTTTATCTGTGTTTCCGTTTGTATTTGTTAATTTTCTAGTAATGGAGAAACCTAATCATAAATCTTAACATAAAAATGTAGCAAAAAATAAAATAAAATTAATAGAGGAGTGTGTAATATACCTAAAATTGTAGAAAGTGAATAATGGTTGTGGTAAAGTATGGGAGTGCTGGTCAAATTTGAGCAAAATCATATAGGTAAGAGGAGAGATAAACTATCAGATTAAAAGGGTTTTGGCATTTTAATTTGACATGAGTTGCAAGTGTTACCAATGATTTTAGATTAAGTAGAGTCACATGTGACACTTGTTACTCTTTAAACTATATTAATTTTTTTAAATTTAATACCTATTATGCTACTTTAGAGAGAGAAAAAAAATTTATCTATTTCAAGGCTAGCCATTTATACAAAAAAAAATATATAACAAAATAGACATTGCATTATCCTTGTAGATCGTAGATCTTCAACATTGGCTTTGTCAAATTCTCATCATTATATATATATAAACATTTTTTACCACTTCCCTCCTCAATATTTATAACCATAAATCTATTAAAAAATATTTTTAAATAATTAATTAATGCAAAAATAAATTTGAAATTTTTAGATTAAAAAAATCTAAATATAACTATTTTATATTATAATTTTGATAGATAAAAGATTTCTTTTAATAGTGATATTGATCAACAATAAAGATTAAAAAAAATCCATATGTATTCTCCCTCTTCTTTTTCTTTCCTGATTCTTTTTATGAGTTTGATTGGTACTTAAAAGTGTATTTTTATCGAGATTTTATATTATTATTTTGCACTTGAAGTATTAATAACTTCTTAAGTAGATCATATTTTATAATAACATATCTAATATATATAAGATATCTTTAATTTATGGTAAATATTCATTTTAAATACAGGTCTATCACATAAATAAAAGGGTTAATTAATAAGTTTAACTATTGAAATTGAGAAGACAAAGAGAGGGCTAAGCTTAGAAAAAAGATGTTGGTTAAGTCCAAACTAGAACACTATTTTGTCATTAGGTCATATCTAGAGTTGTAGATCTTGGATTTCAGTTTGGTTTATATGGCTAGAAAGCTAAGACATAGGCCTAAAACATTTATAATTGTTTAAGACTCAATTCTGTCGTTTGAAAGTCTAAATCTTAGCATCAAAAGAGAAATATGAATTTGTCCTGCAGCCTAGATACTATTTAGTGTTCAGCCCATATTTCGAGTTTTAAAAGTCCAAATGACCTTACTTTTTTTTTTTTTGGAAAGTTGAGATAATTTTCTAAAACTTTTATTAGGATAATCTATTTAAATTCTAATGGTAGCAATGACGTGTTGTTTATAAAAAAAGATAAGGATTGTCATCAAGTCAAGATCTAGCCACCCACTTAATAATTAGTCAACAAATTAATAGTTTTAAATTTTGGCCTATAAAAGGAGACACTTGTCATGCATTTAGGCATCTTGGTTTTCAAATCATGTTCTTGCTCTTTCTCTTTATATTTTTATAATATTTAAGTTTTGCTTTCTTTAATCTCTTGTTTATACTTTTCATTTCCTTTCCTTTACTTGGTTAACTTATATCTTATTTATGTTTCTTTTCTTTATTATATTTAGCTAAGTTTATTATGTTAAGGTAAAAAGGTTATACTAATAGTGTAAGAATAAGTATACTATAAACTTAATATGGACTTCAATGCTTATATCCTAAATAACTTGCTATTAACATGTCTTATCATTTTTATCTTATTAATTCTTAATACCTTACTTATTAAATGGTTAATTTAGATTTGCGTTGTATAACACTTGATCTTACCAGGTTATTTATTATTTTGACAATTCTATACTTGTAAGAAGATATTCATTTTTTGATACTGTCAGAGTTTTAGTTTTACATTCTTACTTTCTTTTGTTGAAGCAAGTCCAATAATAAAAAATAACTTATGCAAAATCCATGACCAAAGTTGGTAAGTAAAGTTAGGGCATGGAATTTTGAAAAGTATAATAAAGATATATAGTTTTAGAATAAGTTTTAGATTTTTTTGATTTTTTTTTATTTCAATCATTGTTTCATGTGTTTTCTAAAAACGAAGGTAAAAATTAAAAGTTGCAATCGTTGTTCTGCCAAAGACCAAAGACAGGTAAAAATAGATTTTCACCTATTTTTTAAATCAAACATGATTTTTTATGTCATTCACCTTCCCTTTTCTTTTTTCTAAAAACCAGAATTATCCTAATTCTTATTTTAAATTCAAATTATTTAAATGTATTTACATAAATTATCATATAGTATATATAGTATAGATCAAGCATAAAAACCTTGATTTTTATAATGCTATATTTAGGAGTTTAATCGCAATTTCTCAATGTAGCATTTAATGGTGTCTCTTAGCATTATCCAATTTTCAATAACAATTTATATTCGATTATACTTTTTTTAGTGCTCATTAAACTCTAAATTCAGTTTGGTCTTGCATGTTGATTTGGAAATTAAGTTGATATTAGGCTTGATTAGGATTTAAATTATACTAGTTAAAAAATTAATTTAGCTAAATCGAATTTAAATGAATCACGTATATATATAATTAAATTTTTGACAAATATTTATTGAGTTAAACTTATATATATATATATATACACATATCTTTTTGTTTAGTTAAACTTACTTCTAAATATATATTTGTTAAAAATTAATTATATTTTTTATTTAAAATTCTTTTTATATTTATTTATCACTTTAATATACTAATATCATAAATAAATTTTAAAAAATATAAAAAAATATTATTTTAATAATATATTTATTAAAAAGACATGAAAAACATCAGCACTCCCGAATACAACTTAAATCTGCTCTCTTTCCCATACACACACACACACAACTTTATTTGTTCCACCGGATCTAAACTCTAAAACCCAGCTATTTATACTAAAAAGTTTACTTTTCCGAAACATAACTCTTTTGTCTTGATGAATATCACAAGACCCCATCAACATCCCCTCGCACATCTCTCCATCCCATCCATGAAATTATTCAATTGAGTACATATCTTTGTCTCTGCAAAAAGAAAATTGAGCAATCCATCACATACACAACCAAGCTAATTCCTACACATCCACTACTTTTTCTCACATTCTTTCCGTCCATGATGGCCCCAGATAATCTTCAGGCAAAACAGGCCCCCATAGATGACAACCAAATCACTACTAGTAACCGAAAAACAACGACGACGAGACCACAAGAGGAAGCTTTGAAGTGTCCAAGATGTGACTCACCCAATACAAAATTCTGCTACTATAACAATTACAGTTTAACACAGCCTAGGCATTTTTGCAAGACATGTAGAAGGTACTGGACCAAAGGAGGAGCCTTGCGCAACGTTCCCTTCGGCGGTGGCTGTAGAAAAAACAAGAAGATAAAATCATCTTCAAGGCTCTCAAGTGACTCCAGTGGCTCCTCAGAGATCGGTGGATTCAACTTCTTTCATGGACTCTCCCCGGCCACGAAATTTAATCTCGGTGGGCTATCATTACCTAGGCTAAACCTTTCACCAAATGGCATATATAACCATTTCCCTTCATCTGGGGAAATTTCAGCAACTTCTGAAGCTGCAGTTAGTATTACTAGTCCTCGTTTCAGACTTGATCCATCTGTTAGTTCCACTGCTGGTTATGGTTCCTTAATGGGGCTTAGTTATCCACTTACTTCGGTTAGTAGTGGATTTTGTGGAGCAATTCAAGAGAATATCGGTGGCGCATCAATGAATGTCAACACTAATCTCGCGTCTTCAATTGAATCTCTGAGTTGTATAAACCAAGATTTACACTGGAAGTTGCAGCAACAGAGATTGGCTATGCTATTTGGTACAGGAAAAAATCATAGAGATGACAGTACTGTTTCTACAGCCCCTATTGAGAACCATGTCCAGAAACTACAACCTATTATGTTTGAAAATCTTGAAATTTCAAAACCACAAGTATGTGCTGCTGGTAATTCAAGAAAAGATGGTGCAACTAGTGGTGATCCAGCAACTGAGTGGTTCTTTGGGAATTCATATGATCAATTGACTGCCACGCCAACAAATAGGAGCAACAATGGCAATAATGACAACACAGGCAATTGGAATGGCGTTCAAGCATGGGGTGATTTGCATCAGTATAGTGCTTTGCCCTAGACAAGAAAGCATCAAGAGGTAGAACATAGTGAAAGAAATAGGAAAAATGAGAATACTATCTAAATCCTAATTTGGAGGTTTTTTTATCAACTTGTTCTTGGTTTGTTGGGTACTGATCAACTTGTAAAAGTTGGGAAAAAAATAGACTATTTATCTCTTTCTTGTGATTTTCTTTTTGTTCTTTTGTATTGTTAATATAATTTAGGGCTTGCTGTTTCTACAAATGGTGCTGATAATATTTCTCTTTGTTATTAGATGTATGTATCCCTTTTGCATATTTACCATAAAGATGCAGGACTACTGTTGTTAATGCTAGAAATAAAAGGATGGTTTCAGACCAAAAAGAAAGCGGTGGATGTTCAGCGTTCTTTCTCACACGAATAGATATATATATATGAACCAGAATGGATGGCATTTAATTTTACACTGCATGATCGTATGAATATATCGGAGGTGCTAGCTTGGTATCCATCGAGCTACATAATGCCCATGGTAGCCTTATGGTCATGGTAAACAGGTGCTCAATAAGCTAGCAAGTCACTGCAACCTTTTTCTTCAACAGTTATGTTTGGATCCTTTCAATCATCTCAATATCTTTGGGATCTGCGATGAATTTTCCACTGTTGTTGAATGGGGACTTCATGCCATATCTCTGATTTTGTCTTATGTTCGAGTCATTATCTACAACTCTCACTGTCTCAGCGTGTCCATTGCTCTTTCTGTGTCAGGAGATCTGAGTGTCAGGCACCTCAGCTAATGAGCAAACGACGACAGCACCACAGTGTCAGTAGCTGGGCAAGTAAAGTCTTCCCTGCGTGGGTCCTCGCTTATATAGCCAGCTGCTTTGCTTTATCTTCCCTCTCACTTTCTCTGTCCTTCTCTCTGAGGGTACAGGGCTCGGCATAATAATGAAAGAGTATCAGCAAATGAAGAGAGATGGCACCTCCAGCTGGTGTGGTGTTCGTTTCTTTTGCATACAAAAATGTTTTGCGTAGCTTTTTAATACTGTCTTGGGGAGTGAGCCCTTGCTGCTGCAGCCACCATGGCTTGTATTACTAATGAGAATGAAAGCTTTGCTTTTTCTTTGATTGCCTTTCCATCTCACTCTATGAGATACCAAGTTTTGGAAGAATTACACATTTTTTAAAAGTTTCTGGGGAATAATGGAGTTAAAAGAGAATAATTTTTTTATTATATTTTCAATAATAGCGATTGTATAATATAATCATGATATTATGGTTATGATAAATATATAATTTCCTTTCTTTTATTTTTAATTATCATTCTTATAGAAGAAAAAACCCTAAGAATTGAAAAACCCTAAACAAAACTAGTCTCCTACAATGATACAATGATATGTTGATGTATATTAATAGTTTAATTGTCATATTTATTTATCTATATTTAATTTAAATTTAATATTTTATTGTGCAAGTATATTAGAAAATACATATTTTATATGTTTAGCAGAATACGTTTAATATAAGAAATATATTGATGTTGAAGTATTTTTATATTAATTAATATTGGAAAATAATTGCAAAGGTTATTGTTGTTAAATATAAAAAATAACTGTTTATGTTGATTTAAAAATTTTATGTTGATAGTAAATAATAAAAAATAATTATATTATTGATGTTTCAATAAATTGTGTAAAAGAGAATATGATAGCTACTCTTATTATATGTATAATGGTCATGGGCTTATTGACATTAACTGTGCTCCTTATATTTTTTGAGCTCATTGAGATTGGTTTTGATATATTATTATGTTGTATATAATTATGATGTGTTATTTTTTATTTAAAAATTGTTTTTGTTATTATTTTTTTTTAAAAAAAAGCTAATTATCATATTGAATTTAATATTGTCTTACATATTATGTATTTTCGTATTTCTTGTAGATTAACATGTGAATATCATGAACATGTTATTTAAAATTCCAAATCATCCATTTACAAGTTAAAAAATACACATTATTATATTTTGTTATTGTCACTATCAATTATCTTTATAATTAATAAATAAAATCAATGTTTAAACATAATTTGGGATTACAAATGATGTTAAAATATTGCACTTTCAATTATGAGTTTGTGATTTGGTAATTTATAATTTTGTTTGAGCTTGGGCCTAATAGTTTAGTCTTTGTTTATATAAAATTTAGGGTTGTATTAAGGCTAAAATTATGTTATAATAACACAACTAGAAATAAGTTCTTTCAGGCACCGTGTATTTTATTACCACTATTTACATTAGTATTTGTATACTGAAGAACAGCTATTATCATTAGCGTGTTAATGACAATAGCAATTTATTAATAAAACCACGATATTCTTTAATGATTAAGTAAAAGTGTATTATTTCTCCAACACTTTTTTATCCTGTCCTATATTCTAAATTCTTTTATCAAACTGTGTTAGTTTGATAAAAGACCCACATTTCATTAGAAGGTTAAAAAAAATATTAGCATTAAGCAACCCTTTAAAATAACATAGATTACATGTGTGCATGTATAAATAAAGTAACAACTAACTTTTTAAAATCTGGTATCTTTTTTAAAGATAAAGAATTCTAATGTTAAAAAAAAAAAAACAGTAACCCCCCGCATCTTTTAACATCTGGTTGCTTTTCATTACCACTTATTTGTATTATAAAAACAATAGCTTGTATATTAGGTAATTTAAGAGAATTTTATTCTATATTGGAAACGCAAGTGGTTTTGTTTTGTTGTATCATATAAAGGACATCAAATCAATAGATTTTAATGTTAGAGAAATTTTTTTAAGAAAAATATAAAATTAAGATATATTTATATAATATATAGCACTTGGCACTTGAGAACTTGATATTTGATATTATGTAATATAAATATTTTTTTTCAAAATTAATTAATTTAAGTTAATTAATTAGCTTTTGAAATTAATTATGTATGATACTTTCTGCCAAGTTATTGTTCAATTAATTAGAATGAGGAATTGTCTTTTGAATTCTATAAATATAGTGGTTTGAAAATGTGTGTTTTTAAATTTTACAGAAATATTAATATAAAAATATGTGTTTTTAAATTCTACAAGCATATTGGTATGAAAGAGTATTATTTTTTTATATAAATATTAGTTTAATATTAATATAAATTAATTAGTAAACAATTTTATTCACTCCCTAATTTTTCTCTATACAAATTATTGGTTTATATTTATCATAAATAAAATAAATTTTTTTAATAAATTTAAAGAAGTTGTTATTTATGAGTTTAAGGTTTTGTTGTATCCTAAAAATATATTATTTTATCCTTAAAATAAATTTATTAAAGACAATTTACATTTGAAAATACTGATCGTCACACCTCTAAACTTGTTCGTTATACCCACTAACATTACATTGTGTTCCGAAAAGACACGACACACAAATTGCAAACACAAGTTCACTCGTACATGCTCATTTTTATGTTTTTTATCTTTTTCTAAAGCTACTATAGTTCAAACTTCTCTAATTTCTACATGAACAGGTTTCATACATATCTCTTTTGCTTTTGAAATGAACTTAATTTGTGTCTTCAACTAACTGTATGTACTAATATTTATGGGCATTAATTGATAAACATGTTCATTACGCTCACTTTTATATATTCTTTGGATGTGTTTATAAGTTTATGTAAGCATGGTGGGGCGGCGGCCTGTATTGGAGAAAAAGTGGTGAGCATGAAGTTGCGTGATTAACGTGAAAGACTCCACTAGGCGAGAACTTTTTGTTCGAACTGCTTGTGCTGTGTTAACAGTCAGATGACAACTCACTATAACCTGCGAGAAGCCCATGACCAACCCTACCTAAATACTGAGACAATCTGGCTAGGAATTACATAATGCTACGTACATTACTCCTCCCTCCTTCCTCAAAAATATATATGTCTTATATATAATATAACCCTTAGTTAGCTGAGACCCAGCTCAGTCCAACTACTTCCATGGGGTGTCTTGATTAACCGATGCGGGGCCATGCGTCGTATCAAAAACAACCACAAAATCAATATTTGTGATATACATGAGAACGATGCTAGCTATTTATTTATGTACACTTAAATAGTTAAATGTGTTTCTAATAAATAAATAAATTGTTAAATGTGACTTTGGGACTATCTAATATGTTGTGCCTTTTTAGGTAATTACACAACATTTTGTTTTTCCTCTTCTGAGAACAGTTGAATGATCGTGAAACCAATTTAATGAGTTATCCGATTGTTATTGGCTGGAGCCTAGAGGCAAGCAACATCACCGAATATAGATTCATCAAACTGCTGATCTTGTCCGATTAATCAATCTATAATGGATTGGACTTCCTTCAACAAACGGCAATGGAGATGTGAAAGGAAGAAGAAGAAGAAGAAGGGAATCTCTCTCTGTAAGGCTTACGCGGCATCTAACTAATCAGACATGTCATCATCACAAAATAACGTTCCCCCCCCCTCAAATCGACGTTTTAAGATTTGTTTTGTTGCATGACGTGGAGGAGACTCAACCCTAAAACGAGAAAAATGATTGCTTCCCATCATCCTTTTTGGCATCTTCCAAGTCATCTCCATCGTAAAACGGCACCCGAACCCAGAAGACACAACTTCCACCAGCCCACTCGCATCATTTCATTTGCTGTTTTCTCTCTTTTCGTCTTATCATTTGATGATGTATTTGTTGTTAATACCTTTTCGAGTATGAAATACTCCTATAACGGATGGTTTCCATGCTCCGTTTAAGACTTCATGTTTGAAAATATATAATTTATATGAAAATATAACAATTCAATATGTATTATAAAACTACAACGTATTAATAAGCATATAATAATAAAACAATATAATTAATAAAAAATAAATGGAATATATAAGAAGAGATTAGCCGTTAAAGAGAAAATATTTTTATTTCATATGAATTTGTAATTATATAGGTATATACAATCCTTTCAACGATGTTCCTATTTATAAATGTATATATAAATACTTATAAGTTTAAAGATCATAAAAAGATATAAATTCAAATAAATTTGGACAAAATCAAATAAACTTGGAGAGATTCAAATGAATTTATTGATGATAGACACGATTAAAAGATTCATGTCTTCTCCTAAGTATAGAAGTGTCAAAGTAATAAATAACCTAATAAGATCAGAGTCGAACCACAGGAAGGTTAATTGTATAAATTATAAATAATAATAATACAACAGTAGCAACAACAACAATAACGATAATGGTTATAATAATAATAATAATAAAAAAAATAATAAAAATAAAGAAGAAGAAAAAGTTAATGAAAACTTTGAGATGGAAGATTAATGTGAGGATCAAACAATGATAAAAATAAATGTCAAGGTTAGATGATCCACTAATGGTATTTCAAACAAGTATAATATAAACTCTTTTTATCACTTAATTGAAAACCACACACATAAAGTAGGTTCTAATCGGATTATAAGTTGTTAACATGATTACATTAGTTATCTTATTCGAATAATGCTAATATTTGTAAATATTGTGAGGTATTAATGATTATAACTTATATTAACAACAAATCAAGTTTCTTTCATAGCACAAGTGTCAGTTATACCATACAGTTGGGCTATGAAAGTGTCAAGTATGTGTTGTACCAAGTGTTATATAACATAAATCTAGACTAACCATTTAACAAACAAAGTATTAAAAGTGAACAAGATAACAAATACAAAGTATATTAGTATCAAACATTAAAGTCCATATTGAATTTACACTATACGTATTCTTAAACTATTGGTGTAACCTTTTCACCTTGATATAATAAACTTAACTAAACATAATAAAAGAGAGAAACATAACTAAACAAGATAAGAACATAAATAAGATAAAAGTTAAATAAGTAAAGGAAAGGAATTGAAAGGCATAAACAATATATTAATGAAAATAAAACTTAAGCATTACAAAAATACAAAAAGAAAAAGCAAGAGCATGATCTTGATCTTAAAAACCAAGATGCCTAAATGCATATCAAATGC